TAGACTTAAGCTTTCATTTAGTTGGCTTGCACAGAAATTGCATTAAAAATACTGGGGTAAAATTAATTTCCATATTTTTAAGACATGGCGCAAGAACATATAATTGAATGCAGTGCTTTTGGTTTGGTCTCTGAAGTTATATCGTATTTCAGTCAGCCAGTGAAGATTGCGTTTTTTTTTAAAGAAATCAGATCTTAAACTTGGCAATTTTGTAAATGAGATGACAATTAACCGGAAGCTCCAGGGCTGGCTGACTGAAATTAAAAGTCAGTGTGCAAATTGTTTGTTATGTGTGCAACGTATGATTTATGATGTAAGACACATTCGTAGCTTAAAAATCTCTGGCAGTACAAGAGAGAAGGGATACATCAGTTGCCGGAAGTTAATGATAAATATGTATATTATAACAGCAGTATAATTATCATACAACAATAATTTAATAATAACTGTTTTTACATTATTGTGAGGGTTGGGTTTAGGGTTGCGTTAGATGTAAAATAAAATACAATGGAATGGGTAATTTAATAAATAATATGAATACTACTCATTATATAAATATAATTTTTACATTACTGTGAGGGTTGTGTTGGGGTAGACATAAATAAAACACAATTTAATGGCTAATTTAATAAATATTACTCTGTATAACTACTGTTTTTACAATACTGTGAGGGTTGGTTTTAGGGTTGCGCTAGGTGTTAAATACAATTGAATGGGTAATTTAATAAATAATATAAATACAACTCAGTATAAATATCATTTTACATTACTGTGAAGGTGTTAGGGTAGGCATTAATAAAATACAATTAAACGGGTAATTTAATAAATAATATAATTAATACTCAGTATAAATATAATTTTTACATTACTCTGAAGGTTGTGTTGGGGAAGGCATTAATAAAATACAATTTAATGGGTAATTTATTAAATAATACTCTGAATAACCACTGTTTTACATTACTGTGGTGGTTGGGTTGGGGTAGGCCTCAATATAATACAATTCAATGGGTAATTTAATAAATAATATGAATAAAACTCTGTATATTTATAATTTTTACATTACTGTAAGTGGTTTAGGTTCAGAGTAGGTATTAATAAATTACAATAATGAGTAATTTAATAAATAATATGAATAATACTCAGTATATAAATATCATACTTACATTACTGTCAGGGTTGCGTTGGGGTAGACATAAATAAAACACAATTTAATGGCTAATTTAATAAATATTACTCTATATAACAACTGTTTTTACATTACTGTGAGGGTTGGTTTTAGGGTTGCGCTAGGTGTTCATTAAATACAATTGAATGGGTAATTTAATAAATAATATTAATACCACTCAGTATAAATATCTTTTTACATTACTATGAGGGTGTTAGGGTAGTCATTAATAAAATACAATTGAATGGGTAATTTAATAAATAATACTCTGAATATCCACTGTTTTACATTAATGTGATGGTTGGGTTGGGGTAGGCCTCAATATAATACAATTCAATGGGTAATTTAATATATAATATGAATAAAACTGTATATTTAACATTTTTACATTACTGTGAGTGGTTTAGGTTCAGAGTAGGTATTAATAAATTACAATAATGAGTAATTTAATAAATAATATGAATAATACTCAGTATATAAATATCATTTTTACATTACTGTGAGGGTTGTGTTGGGGTAGACATAAATAAAACACAATTTAATGGCTAATTTAATAAATATTACTCTGTATAACTACTGTTTTACATTACTGTGAGGGTTGGTTTTGGGGTTGCGCTAGGTGTTCATTAAATACAATTGAATGGGTAATTTAATAAATAATATTAATACCACTCGGTATAAATATCATTTTACATTACTGTGAGGGTGTTAGGGTAGGCATTAATAAAATACAATTGAATGGGTAATTTAATAAATAACATAATTAATACTCAGTACAAATATAATTTTTACATTACTCTGAATAACCACTGTTTTACATTAATGTGATGGTTGGGTTGGGGTAGGCCTCTATATAATACAATTTAATGGGTAATTTAATTAATAATATGAATAATACTCGTATTTACTGTTTTTATATTATTGTGAGGATGGGGTAGGCATTAATAAAATACAATTTAATGGGTAATTTAATAAACAATATGAATAATATTCTGTATAATTGTCATTTTTACATTACTGTAAGTATTGGGTTTAGGGTTATGGTAAGGGTAGACGTTAATAAAATAAAATTAATGGGTAGCTTATTAAATTAATAATATTTGTGTCTAGCTGGAACTACTTACAGTACTAGTTTGTTTACCACAGAAGACGATGATGAAAAATAAAACTATGTGGCTTGTGGCGTTGTCTGAAATCAGTTACTGGAGTTTTATGAAATTAATTAAATATTTATACATGATACCAAACTACATTAATCCTCTTAATAAGGCCTGAATTAACTCCTTGGTATTGTATGTTTGACTATCCATGCAGCATGAAAGAGCCAGGATAAATATTATAGTTACTCCAACTGTGTTTGTCTGACAGAAAAAGTCAAGGATTGAGTAAACTATGGGGTTATTTCATTTCTGGGTGAATCATTCCTTTAAATATCTGTTAAAACATATTTATTTACGCACAAAAACCCACACAAGCAAATAAAAAAGACAATTATTTGTCCAAACCAATATCAGACTGACAGAATTCTTTTGTCCAAATAAACACTTGCAGAAAATATTTGTGAGAAGCACAGCAGTCTCCATCTGATCCGCTAGTTTGCCCCGTTCACATCCTCTGGGTAGACACTGATGACCCCAAAGGGGCCTTGTTGCCTGCTGGGTCAAAGTGCATCACAAATCACTCCATCCTGAAGCTTCTTCCCAGGCCAAAAACAGACAGCCGTCAGAAGACACCAATCTTTAAACACTAAAACCTCATTACATATACAGATAAGACAGCGTTGCTTTAAGTGGTTGAATCAATAGTCTGAAACAACACTCTTAAAAATAAGTAGCAGCTTATCTTGAAAACAGGCCTACAATGAGTCTTGGAGAAGAAAGGTTTTGGCTATTCTATTGTGATATGCAACATAAACTATTTATTTACTGCACTGCATTGCATATAGAGTAAAAAGATTTGTTCGCTAGCTATAGTACTAATATTCGCATGTGTTTGTTTTTAATTAATGTGCAACATTTCCTCATTCAGAGGTAGCAGTGAGAATAACATCAAAACATCAGGAAGACATCAAATTCCACTACACACTTTTTTGTTTCTGTCACAAACATTAACACTTCATCAGCACATCAAATTAGCAAGACCCATTTAGATGATTGTCAGAACGTATATATGATGTCATTCATTTTAGTTTCATCAGGAAATACATTTAATAAAAATACATACGTTTCCGTTCAAAAGCTGTTGGTGTGTAATTTTGTTTAATTGATTGATTTTGTCTTTAATAGGGATATTAATTATTTTACCATGTTTTGAAATCTATCTATTAGGGCTGCACAATATTAGAAAAACCTAGCATTGTGATATCACTGAAAAATCCAGCTTAAACCAGCCTAGACTGGTTGGCTGGTTTTAGCTGGTCGACCAGGCTGGTTTTAGAGGGGTTTTGGCCACTTCCAGTCTGGTTTCCAGCCATTTCCAGCCTGGTATTAGCTGGTCAAGCTGGGAGTCCAGCCAAAACCAGCTATATCCAGCTTAAACCAGGCTGGTCACGCTGGTTTTAGTTGGATTTGGCTGGTCATTTTCTAGCCTGACCAGCTAAGACCAGGCTGGAAATGGCTGGAAACCAGCCTGGAAATGGCCAAAACCCCTCTAAAACCAGGCTGGTCAACCAGCTAAAACCAGCCAACCAGCCTAGGCTGTTTAATCTGGATTTTTCAGCAGGGTATATATTTTTAGTATTTTGCAATATATATTACGATATGAATTAGGGATGTCCTGATCAGGTTTTTTGCCCTCAAGTCAAAGTCATTTGATTTTGAGTATCTACCAATGTCGAAACACGATCCGATACTTCTATACAAAAGAATTAAGAAGAGCGAAGAAACAGATCCAGGATGTTCCTTATTTTTTATTTAATTTAGTTTTATTTGTTTGTTGTGTTAAACAACAGCAGACATACTCGCTGCTTCCGTGTTCTACTTTGCCAGCATTTAACCAATAGTGTCTGCAACAAAGTGAGGTCATGCCGCACACGTTACTGTTTCTGTGTGAGGTCAAGAAAAAGGTCTGACTCAGCATAACTATAGATGTTTTAAAAAATAATGAGAATAGTGCATCCGCAAAGTATTCATAGTGCTTCACTTTTTCCACATGTTTTTGTTTCAGTCTTATTCCAAAATGAATTCAATTAATTTATTTCCTCAAAATTCTACACACATTACCCCATAATGTCAATGTGAAATTTATTTATTTATTTTTTTTTTTGGAAATTGTTGCAAATTTATTAAAAATAAAAAACCTGAAAAACCACATGCACATCAGTATTCACAGCCGGTAACATAGACAAATGTGAAAAAAGTGAAGCCCTATGAATACTTTCTGAATGTCTGTTTAAAATGAGCTGAAACAACATTTTTTTACAATTTCTTTCGCCAATTTATATGTTTTATGTTCAGTCCACTTAAATTTGTAAACCATTAAGTTAACTTAAGCGTTTGTGTTGGGAAAACATGGAGGAATTGTGTTGGTCTAACTACCTGGTCAGGGGATTTGTAGTTCCCAGCATGCTTTGCATGGGATTTAATTAAAAGCGGGAAATGTTGACAATAAAAGTAATCTTAGGTGTTTTAAGTTATTAGAAATCTGTCTATCTGCCTGTCATAAAAAATGTAAATCCTTGGTGTGATTGCAGTGCTAAATGGTGGTACTTTTTTGTATTTTATTTTGTGTGTGTGTGTGTGTGTGTGTGTGTGTGTGTGTGTGTGTGTGTGTGTGTGTGTGTGTGTGTGTACATATACACTCACATGATAAAAGAAACAACCAACCAAACAAAAAACATAGTTTAACATTTTAAATGTATGTTGGGTAACTTCTGATTACTTTCATGCGTCACTGCTGAACACTTAAATAAATAAAAAAAACACACACTAACCTTGAGCTTTTGAACGAAGATACATTTTTTCTACCACAATATACAGAAAAATAAATCAACTTAAAATACAGATGATATACAAATACTGAGGCCATTAAATATCAATAATATTAAAGTGTATAAGGTAAATAGCATGTATGGGTCCTGTTCACAGAAAATTCACAGTGTAAAAATAAAGCAATGTTTGAATCACTTTTTTGGATTACAGAAAGCCTTTTCCCGTGCCCTTATGCTCTCTTTTTTTTTCTTTATTTCTTTTCTTTTACTATAACCCAGCATTTGTTGCAGTTGGATGCATTCCTAGAAATTACTCTTAAGTCCCACCAAGGTCAAAGTTTCACTTGAATCCTTAATGCTGGAACAGAATCCATCTGCTACCCTTCACATTTGCTGTCTTGTGTTTATGCTTGATTTTGTACATATTCATACACACGCACACACACACACACACACACACACACACACACACACACACACACATGCACACACACACACACGCACACACATAAAAACTCATTTAGCACTCAAACACAAATCTTCATTTTCTTCCTAAAGAGAGGTGACGTCCAGCGCACAATACAATTCACTTAAGAACTAAACAAAGATATAGGCAGGAGGTGACCTAAAGGTTCCTGTTTAAAAAAAAAAACAAAAAAAAAAAAAACTGCATTTTTGAATATGCTAACAATAACAACCGGATGCTGAATATGAAGGATTGGCTGCCTCCTCAGCAGAACGCTGGGAGTTTCTTTGGCAAAGTTCACAGGAGGGAACCAAAAAAAAACTTCACTCTTCCTTTTTTTGACTTCCTTTCTCATCGGACAGTGACGATCCTGACCGTGTTGGTCGTGCAGTATTTACCCAAGGAAAGCATGTGGAGCCCTTGATCAGGGTTCATTTGTAGCTGTTAGGTTCAGCTGCATCCTGTTGCTGTTGGTCTTCACTCCCACCACTTCTCACACAGCAAAACAACACTCCCGAAGTCTGAGAAACAGCTGTTGTGGGAGACTTTAAATATATCAGGTCCATTGTCTGGTCTGAAGCTATATATATATTAAAACAGCTTGATGCGCCAAGCACAAGGCCTTTTAGTCTTATATAAATGTTTGTATAAATGTTTTGTAAGGCATATTTTTTTAGAACGTTCTTCTCAGTCGCTGTATTTCCGGACTCTGTCGGTGTAGAGGTTGCCGGGCTCATGGTTTTTGCACTGAATGCTAGTGCCGTTCACTGGACCTGAACTGGACACCTGGTTGTTAGAGTAACACCAGCAGCACAAGCAGGACTGAAAGAGTGATAGAAAACAAAGTACACTGTTACCAATTTTTTTAAATATGTTAATACGCTAATATGTTAATAATTTTTTAAGCTGTTAATATGCCTAGTAAATTACTGTATATCAATTACAGCTAAAAAAAAAAAAAAAAAACTTACATAGTATTTACAATTACAGCACTATTTATCTTGCTGAATAAGTGTTTACAGAATTGTATGTATATCTTTACTTTATACACTATTTTTCAAAATGCAACTTTAAAATACATCCCACAAAACTGCCCTACAGTAAAATACAGGTCATATTTCAGTTAAATACCATGTAATTTACAAAAATCATTTGCAATGTATATAAAATCTATAAATAAATTGGTTCATAAATGCATACATTAAAAAATGTATACATTTTATACATAAATTTAGTGCATATTTCAAAATGATTTCTTTTTTTTTTTTTTTTAATGTGTGCAGCAAAACACCAACATCTTTTAACACATTCAGTATATAATGTACCATTTTTTTAAAACAATATATAGCTTAGGTTCAGCTGTAGTTTCACCTAAAAATACATTACAGATCATTTAATGTCATGCTGTCGATGTCATGTTTTATTTAAAGCAAAAACACACAGTTTTGTGTGTGTCTCTTTAAATGCAAATGAGCTGTTGCTTCCATCAATCTTTCTAGAAGAAGATGAAGCCTTTACACCCTTGTTTCGGATGCTCTCACGGCAAAACATCTGTTTAGTTTTATCATTCGTGTTGGACTTGTAACATAGCAGTTCATGGGAAATTATATTATCTTTTAAAAATATGTACACTGCAAATAACCTAAGCAAAATTCAATGTTTGTACTAATTAACAGTTTGTATTTTAGGGGTGTTTTCTTTTTTTCTTTTTTCTTTTTTATTCTATTATTGGATGTTGATCTTTAGTGTCAACATTTTTATGATGATGAAAATTAAACTCCAGTTTAACTTTGATTGATATTTTAGTAGTTTGATAGCAACACTCAAACATTTTTGCTGCTTGACCAATCTACTTATTTAAAATGAATTGAAACAACACAACTCTTTAGGTTTTTTGGGACACCTTTAAATGTTTTATGTGTAATCCACAATTCCACAATTTGAAAAGTTAACATGATCTATTTGTGTTGTGAAAACATGAAGGAATTGTATTGAACCCAGGATTTTTTTTTTTTTTTACATTGAATACTGTGAATTCATAAAAATAACTACAATCTCACATTTGATAACAGTATTGGTTTATTGTAGGCGTTGTGTTAAATTCAAACAACATTTATGTGACAGTTCAGCCAAAAAGGAAAATTTACTCAAAAATCATTTACTCATTCACTCAAAATAATAATAATAATAATAATGTAATTATTATTAACATAAATAATAATGTAAAGTATGATGATGAAGTTTATCATTAACTCTTTGTAACCTTTTGATTTTATTTAATTGGTCAGTTTTTAAAATGTATGTTGTCAGATTTTTTAGAATCAAACTAAATCTGTTAAAATCGAATACTATTAGACTTAATCAGTTTGAACAAATGTATATGGTATAAATTTATAAAGCTGTAGAAAAAGCCAGATCCAATTAGTTAAATTCTGTGAGATTTGTGAGAATTTACTTAATAATAAAAGGCAAAATTGATGCAGCTCCATACTCCACACAATAATGTGTTTTGAAATAATAAGAATATAAACCCCATTGGATTTACTGTTATTAAGTCTTCTTCACATTTGTTTTATTTATGTTTAACCTAAAAATATCAATCACATAAAGTTTATTTAGTTTAAAGTTAATTTAAAGTTCAATTATGTTAAATGTACGTAATCCAATTTGCTGGAAATTTCTTATATGTTAGGTCTAAATATATATTTTTAAGCGACTCAAAAGAGGATTTTTAAAGAATGTTAGAAACCGATAACCATTGAATTCCATAGCATAAAAAGTACTATGAAAGTCAATGATTACCAGTTTGTAACATTTCTCAAAATAACTTCTTTTGTGTTTGACAGAAGAAAGATCCTCAAAAACAGGTTTGTGACAATTGAAGTGCGAGTAAATGTCAGAAATTTCAATATTGGGTTAACAATCCCTTTAACATTTTAATACTTTTCAAATACTTAATTTCCAAACTTCCACCGTACACACGACAATCAACATTCTAAAATGTTATCAGGGTGATATTGATTTTAAATATAGAACTCATTGGACTAATGATTTTAGGAGTAATAGAGCTATGCAATGTTAAAAAGTCTTTGTCAGAAATGTTTCCATAAGCACTTTCTTTTCACAACAAAGCTTGACAGTATTATACGTACATTAGTGCACTTAGGCATTGTATTCGAGGGGAATGAGTTTAAATAAATCTGTATTTCTTATCTGCAGCACCATGTTTGGCCACAGTAAATCAACTTTCGATATTTCTCTTGGCCTGACCCCATCTCTTGCACAAATCACCAATATGCTTGATACCCATGAACTTTGACTTGGTGTTGTTGTTTTGCTCAACTCACAAACACTTGAGCTGCATTGTATCTTTGGGATTGTCCTCATTATTCAAATGAGACCACTCTTTTGTGGGTCTGGCATCACTTTCAGTAAACTAGCAAGACAACCAGAACCAGACATAGCTTCTCTCTCTCTCTCTCTCTCTCTCTCTCTCTCTCTCTCTCTCTCTTTCTCTTTCTCTATCTGAATTGGTGTTTTCAAGGAGCTTTAGGCTCAATTTTTGATAATTCTAATGCTTTTTAGGAGCTTAATGTCTGAATAATTATGGAATTATTTGGTAATAAACAAAATTCAATCTCTCTCTCTCTCTCTCTCTCTCTCTCTCTCGTTCTTCGTCTCTTTCTCTCTCTCTGTCAATGACTCACAGGACAGTAAATCAAAAACAGTTTGCTGATAGAATGCTCTGTTTTCAGGTTTTGCCAAGACGCAAGGAAAACATTTGGTAACAGTTTGTTGTGAGTCTGTTTTTTTAATGAAGGAATAAACAACTCACCTTAAAGCAATTCTTGAACTTCTTGCTGACAAAGTAGAGAATGATGGGGTTGATGCAAGAGTTCACAGTCGCCAAGTTGATACCAAAATAATCCATGATCAACAGGAAGCTGTAAATTTTAAGACAAGTCATAAAATATTAATCTATAGGACATCAGGGTCTTGTACTTGTAAAATTTTAAAGAATATATATATATATTTTTTTTTTTGATTAATTAAAATGTACACTGTAAAACCCAAAAAGTTAGGGTAATTCAAACCATTTGAGGAAACTGATTGCAACAAACAATTTAAGTTCAGAAACTAATCCCAATGAGTACTGTGAACTTAATCCATTTGAGTAAATGAAGCAATTTGAGCACAGTAAAACCCAATAAATGAAGGGAACTCAAACCAACTGCGTACTGTAAAACCCAATAAGCTAAGACAACTCAAACCGTTTGAGGAAACCGATTGCAGCAAACAATGAGTTAAAAAACTTATCTTAGTACTGTGAATTTACTCCTTTTAAATTAAAGTAATGAGGTTATTAATTAACACATTACCTTCAACATTGAGTTCAAAACTCTTATCAAATAAGTAGAATTAAATTTCTGTAAATTTTAAGTTATTGCACTCATTTCATTTGATAAAGTCAACTGTTGGGTTTTACAGTGTATAAATGTTTATAGATTTGTATCTATTTGTGTAAATATGCAAAAACTAAAGTATCCCATATTTTTACATTAGGTTTTATTAATTTTGTCTATGTAAGAGTATTGCAAAATAACCTATACTAAAAAACTAATTTACAGACATTGTATTACAGCATAACACGAGATAAAAATTGTGAGATATCTTCTATTGAGAGGATACTATTTTTATTATCAGGAAAGATGTCTGTGGGTCAATTTTATGGGTTTGTATGTTCAATCACATTTCCTTATATACAGAGAATTAAAATCAAATGGGAAGAAGAGTTAGATACTGCTATTGATGAGGAAACATGGATTGATATTTTATCTAATGTCAAGAAAATATCTGTTTGTACACGTTCAAGAGAAATACAATATAAATATATACATACACTCCATATCTCCCCTAACCGAAGACATCTATTTAACCCTTCTAATGTGCTTATGTGTTTAAAATGTAAAACTGGTGTAGGTACTTTAACACATTGTTTGTGGTCATGTGACAGACTGCAAAGGTTTTGGTCTTTGATGCTGAGGGAAATGGAAAATATCTTTAACATGCAGATTTTGACCTAGTTTCATTGACTTTGGGTATCCCTAATGGACGCATTTTTTCATCAGCTAATAAAAAAATTGTATAATACATTAACCTTTGCTGCCAGAACAAAAATACTTAATTTTATTAATGATAAAGATCCATAATTTAAAGGTTGGCACAATATAATTTTTGAGGTAATTCCCCTGGAACACCTTACCCTTGTTTTACACACACACACACACACACACACACACACACACACACACACACACACACACACACACACACAAAAATAGAGTTAACTTGTTAACAAAGGTTCGGTGGTGGAACCACACCTTACTTTGTCTCCTTAACCAATCACCTACTTCCTAACACTTATTTAAGGCAGACCAGCTCTCTTGCACTGTTCTTCTTGTTCTTTCAAACCAATCCTCCCTTCCTCTATTTCCTCACTTCCCTATTACAGTCCTATAACCCTCTCTTCACTCCTAGGTTGAATCGGGGGTCCAATCATTCAACAAAAATAGTACAGAGACGGTACCAACACACTCTAAATCTCTTGGCATGTGTATGATAGGGCCCAAAGAAAATAACTGACAAATGGCATTAGTAGATTTAGGAACAAGTCCACAATCATTGAAAATAGTATACTCCACAGTGTATGTAATGGCAGTGCATGTAGTGTACAATTTGACATCAGCATCTTTGCTTAAGAAATGAGATGGAATAAAATCTCAGTCCTTAAGAACAGGATGTGGAACCTTCAGCACATAATCATTCTCCGTGTTGCAGGTGGAAATGCAGAAGAACTTTAGAAATATAAAACACCTAATCGTAGGATGCCTGATCAACCTTTATACCTGTTCACTGTTTATCCTCTCATTCTTACTTCCCTTCCCCTTCTTCCCACTGTTTTCTTACCATCCCCTTCATCCCTACATTCCTACAATAAAGTCTAGCTCAAAGTGGGGTGCGGTCCATGCTGGTGAAACAGAACATTTTTGGACTCTATATTTGGATTATTTGAAACCTAGTTTTTGCTCTATCATGCTAAAAGGAATAACTATATTATTATCTGAAAAATAAGCAATGTTTTAAGCCCCTTTTCTGATTTATTTGGGGTAGTCCTATATTTCATATAAACTTTTATTTTCTTTTTCCTTTTTTTCTCTCCATTGTTTTGTGTTGATATTTTTTTGGGTGTCTTTTGAAGATGTATTGTTATGTGAAAATTTAATACACATATTTATAAAAAAACTAACACACACACACACACACACACACACACACACACACACACACACACACACACACACACACACACACACACACACACACACACAAAAGCACACACAAAAGCACACAAAAACTAAGGCGTCAAATCTAAACAGTATTTTTTAAATTATTAGTATTATTTATTATTTATATTTTACTTAATTTAAAATGATAAAAACTCATCTTTAAGAATTATTGTTTTTATTTTTATTTTTATTATTATTATTATTATTATTATTATTATCATCATAACCCAATAAATCTTTAAGTTTATGCAAGGGGTATGTAAACTTATGAGTGCAGCTGTATAAACACTTTAGAATGTAAAGCATACATTTTATGTCAGGGCAAAAAAAAATAAAAAATACAGCATGGAAAAACAGTGAAAGAATGTAGGGCATAGAATAAATCTGTCCAATACTAAGAGTCACTCACTTGAGCAGGTCACAACGTCTTTCATCGTTTGGAACATAAACCATTTTCTTAAGCAGTCTGCTGAGATGCAGAGGGAACCAGCAGAGAGCAAAGATCAGCACTAAACAGAAGACGGCTTTAGCCACTTCACGCCGCTGCAGGACAGACACAAGCCATTAGAACATGTAGTGCATTTAGAGTTGCCACTTTCAATACAAAAAAAATGCATACTGCAGCAGGGGGGCACATCCCCAATCACAGGCCCAATAGCATGCCAGAGAGGAGAACATACTAATAAACCTAATTTTAAAGGGTGGAATTGACAACAGATTTTGGCTAAAATATTTGTCATTATTTGCAGTAACAAGAATCCAAACGTAGAAACAGCACACAAACTAACCACAAACATTAGCTAGTAAAGTTTTCAAATAGCATATTTCTAATTGAAAAATATAAAAAAGTTGCAAATTTTTTTATTTGATTTTTCTTTAAAAAGGGGATATTGTTGTTTATTTATAATTTAAATGTAATGTTTCATGTAATAAATTAATGGTTATGTGCCGGACTTAACCTTAACAAACAAATTATAGATCCGGTGCTGATGTAATGTGGGCGAGTACTTTCACTTTTTACTGCTACAGCTAATTTTAGATTAGATTAAGCATGGCAAGTTTATTTCTAGCACATTTCATACACAGTGGCAATTCAAAGTGCTTTACAAGAGACAAGTATAATAAAAAAATAATAAAGGGATTAAAAAACAATTAAAATGTGTTAAAACAGGTTTTAAAAGAATGAAAAAAAAAGAAAGAAAGATATAATAGTGCGATCTGTGGGACATAAAACAGTGCTGATTTAGTAAAAGCACCGCTGAACAATGTGTTTTAAGTCTTGATTTGAACGTAGCTAACGTTAGATTAGATTAGATTCAACTTTATTGTCATTACACATGTACAAGTATTCAAGTCATCTGGTGAAATTGTATTCGAATGGCAATATATACCACAAATAACTACATATTAGAATGTTAGATTTGACAGATATCAAGCAGCTGTAACTGAAATGCAGAATTTTTAAAACAAAAGTGTTTTTAAAACCACAATTACTCTCTGACTGGTCCTCTGGACTATTGTGTATTAGGCCCTGATTTGTACACCCATAATACTATTACACAACCAGTAGACAGCAAGCATGTATCCCAGCAAAATATGTGCATGCCCAATGAGCATGAATGGTCACAAATAATGCACTTTATATATATATATATATATATATATATATATATATATATATATATATATATATATATATATATATATATATATATATATAAATATATGGATACCTTATTTCTTAAATGCAGTAAAACACCGGTACAGTTGAGGAGTGTTTTCATTCTAAAACACCTTTATAAAAATGTAAATGTACGACTGTAGAGCAGCTCAGTCTATCTATGATAGCAATGCAGAGTCAATCTATCAATCTCTCTGCTTTACGTTATTCATTGTCATCTAAATAAATCCAGCACATGCTGTGCTCAACGTTGACTTGTTATACGACTGATGAACGTACAGGAATTCAGATCAGCACAGTGTCAGCACTACCGTTTACTGCATCACTATCGAGAAGCTTATTAGTAACTATTATGCAAAACTATTATGACAGTAACCAAAATGGCACACTTTGGATCAAAGCCTGAAAGCAATACACACATATACACACTCTAGGGACACCTGAGGCTTCATTTATTATATAAAATAAAGGGGCATGATAGGTCCCCTTTAAGTGCAGAGTGATGTTATAAAAACGTTGATTCTTATTGGTGGAAGTGAGAAACTGTGAGATAATTGTTTATATACAAAATAAAGACCTTTGCTGTTCTGTAAGTAACACCTTGCTTTTTATGACAATCAGACTTTTCTTTACCTGCTTAAGGTGTTCACTGAGGGCGATGCGAAGGCTTCCATCTCTGTGATGCAGCATTTCACAGGTCATGAGTGTGTAGAAAATAGCCGTGCAGGCCAGGGGCACACAGAAGTAGAAGCCAAATAACCACCAATCTTTCCAGTACACATAGAACTGAGTGCAGAAAAAAAATATTTTTAGGAAACATTATGCTGTATATTTATGGTAAACAACAAAAATATATCATGCAGTGTTTACAGACACTGAGAAATCATGTAAAATGAGTTATCCCAATAAATAGTTAGTAAATGTGAATTTGACAGGTAGCTAGCTGTCAGTAAAAATAGCAAAAATTGAGCTGTGAAAAATTCTGTTCAAGACAAAAGTATTGTCGCCTATCTACGTTTTAGAAACAATAAATAATAACTTGACTTCTAGTTAATCATTTGGTATCAGAAGTGGTTTATATGAAAGGCAAAGGCCTCAAGATTACACTTATTTTACCAAAATAAAATATGATCATGTCTTGATTTTTAACTATTTCATTAGGACAGTAAAGTCTGACTTTGCTTAGACAAAAGTCTTGTCACTTAACAGAAATAATGCACAGTATAGAAAATAAAGTCATGGTGCAGTGGAAAAAGAATTATTATGGTCTATGACTCCCATGAGCTTGGAGGACTGCATCCATACACCTCTGCAATGACTCAAATAACTTATTAATAAAGCCATCTGAAATGGCAAAGGAAGCGTTCTTGCAGGACTCAGAGTTCATCAACATTTTCTGGATTCATCTTCAATGCCTCATCCGCCATCCTATTCCATACATGCTCAATAATGCCCATGTCTGGTGACTGGGCTGGCCAATCCTGGAGCACCTTGACTTTCTTTCATTTCAGGAACTTGGACGTGGAGGCTGAAGTATGAAGGAGTGCTATTCTACCGAATAATCTGCCCTCTCCTGTAATTTGTAATGCTATGTGCAGCAAAAATGCCTTGATACCTCAGGCTGTTGATGTTGCCATCCACTCTGCAGATCACTCACATGCCCCCATACTGAATGTAACCCCAAACCATGATTTTCATCAAACTTTTGTGAGAGTCTTGGGTCAATGTGGGTTCCAATAGGTCTACTGCAGTATTTGTAAGGATTGGGATGCAGTTTAACAGATAATTCATCAGAAAAATCTACCTTCTGCCACTTTTTCAAATGATCAACTAGAAGTCATGTTATTATTTGTTGCTCTTACAACTGGAAACAGAGACAAGACTTTTGCCAGTTAGTGTATGTATTTGTTTTTTCATTCACTCGTTTATTCAAAGTGTTGTTTATTAATTCTAATATTGATTGAATGAATAATAGTTTATTTGGTTGATCGCCATCTTTGCCATCATATAAATAAATCACTTATTTGACTGTTTTTTCAGTCTTAATCAGGTAACCTTGCTTATAATAAGATCAAACATAACATTTAAAAATGACTAAAATATACCAAATCTGTGAGCCATGGAGCGTGTTTGCTAACATATCCATTAAAATGTATGGGACACTTTACATGTATAAGACTACTAAAATTAAAATCATTCGTTAATTTTCTCTCCGGCTTAGTGCCTTTATTAATCAAGGCATAACATGTAATTTAACTGAATTTTTCTTCATGCAAGTTGACGTTTTAATGAAGAGTTCAGTTATTTATTAATTTTAGCTATTAGATTTTAAAAAATCGGGATCACTGGGGGTTATAAGTTGATAATGATCAGCTGACCTTATGTTATTGCTAGGTTACAAATTCAAAACAACACTCTGTTAATTTAATCCTTATAATTTCATTTGCACTATATTGAATTGTCTGGCCTGTTGTTTTTGTGATTAATGGCGGAGTGAATGTTTCTAATCTGCACATATGGCTCTCCTTGAGGAAGATCCATCAGCTTGTAATTGCACTCAAGGTCTGCTATCAATTTACTTCTTTGGACCCAAACAAAAGCAAACGAAATCTCTAGATATCACCCACATGATGCATGATGAAGAAAACTCAAAGGTTTTACTTTTATCCCACTATTGTTTTCAGGATTAAAGTTGCAGAAGATCACAGAAATGCTGCACAAATGCTCCGTTTATTGGAAAGTGTTTAAGAGTGTTTTGGGAAGGAAAGGAAAAGACCATCTGGTTGAAACCTACATTCATGAAGTCAGTTTCAGGCTTGAGCATGCATGTGCGGATGGTTTGATTATTGTAGGTGAAGGTGATCATGTTGAAGACCATTGCCTCAGGTACTGCCAAAATAATGGACAGCACCCAGATGGAGAAGATCTCGATGGCAGTAAGAAGAGGAACGCCGACCCCCTGCACTCTGCTCCAGGAGGCTACAGCCCTGTACCTGATTGAGACATTCAAAACATACAACCATGACCAAACATTGTTGATCTGTTTGATCAGTTCAGACCAGAGTCATATTGTTTACAGGGTGTTGTTTCTAACTTTTCTTTAGTGCTGGAGACAACCAGTGATGGGAATAACAGCGGTGTAAATAAAGGGCGTTGTTTATGGTGATACTTTTTAAAGAAACAAATAATCAAATTAATTGCTGTTTCCCCGTTACAATGACAATACCATTATGTTACCATAACTAAGATCACTGAAGCAGTTTTCATGCAAGCAGTGTCTCTCTCAGCAATAGGACCTCTGTTTCTCTGGGGTGTGTGTGTGTGTTCAGGGCCAGTGATGATGATTGGTGTGTCTGTGAACATGGTGTAACCGAGAACAAGATGATTGGCTTAGATAGAGTACATTTCCATTGTTTGTCAATTAGAGCCAGAGTAGTGCGAGCATTTACACACAAGCACACGTACAGACCAACGACTGGGAGTCAGAACAACAACAAATCCAACAAGTTGAAAGGTAGCTTTTGCTGGAAATATAAGCACTACTTTTCCCTCGTTGAGGTGAAAGGCAAGAATGTTTATGTATCGTTCAACTTTTGCTCAACCTTCTGTTTGCCCTATGTATAGGGCCAGACAGAATCTTCAAACATTTTTTTCTATTTCTACGGAGAATTTTGTTAAAGTTTGCGGATTTATGCAGAAGCAATAGTTACTTTTAATGGTAATTAACACTTTTATAATTATGTAACTCAGTTACTAACTCAGTTACTATATGTGAGAAGAAACTAATTTCTCTTTTAAAAGTGCCATATGCTGCATTGATTTAATCATTTAAATTGCTCTCTGATAACTACATAGTAGGTTTATGGCTTCAGTAAGTTCCAAAAAAAAAAAAAAATCTTCAGAAATTGTTTAATAAGCTCATTTATAACTCCATAAAACACCTATAGAATCAGAAGGTCAATGATTGACCATGTATGGTTTGTTTCGTGACTATTGTATTTTGAAGCTATAATGTCAAAGAAAACACAGCCAGAACTTAATTTGGAGTCACAATTTCAAAATAAAAGTCCTACATACGGAGTAAGTGAAATATACACATAAAAATATCTAAGGGAGAAAAAATTACTGCATATTAGTTGGTGCACTCTTGATGACGTGGCTGCTTGTCTGATTCGGATAAATGACCTAAAGTAGGCATACATGCAAATGAGGAGGGCATGGCTTGTGAGTCTCATCACAGTTTTTTTTTTGGTCTTCTGATTGGCCCGTTGTGCACCTACACTTGTGGAATTTACACGAGAACAAGGAAACAGTGGTGTTAGAGACTCACAGTATGCACATTTCATTATACTGGTCTTTTATTATTCTACTATGCCTTCATTTACCCAGATTTTTCTTATAGGACACCTCTAAAGGAACATGCCCAACACTACAGGCAACCCACACAAAATTTTTGTTTTGTATATTTGCATACAGATGAAGTCAGAATTATGAAACGCCCTGAATTATTAGCCCCCTGTTTATTTTTTTCCCTAATTTCTGTTTAATGGAGAGAAGATTTTTTTTTACACATTTCTAAACATAATAGTTTTAATAATCCATTTCTAATAACTGGTTTATTTTATCTTTGCCATGATGACAGTAAATAATGTTTGACTAGATATTGTTCAAGACACTTCTATACACCTTAAAGTGACATTTAAAGATGTAACTAGGTTAATTAGGTTAACTAGGAAGGTTAGGGTATTCAGGCAAGTTATTGTATAAAGATGGTTTGTTCTAGAGACCATCTAAAAATATATATAACTTAAAGGGACTAATTATTTTGACTTTAAAATGGTTTTTAAAAATTTAAAAACTGCTTTTATTTATTTAAAAACTGCTTTTATGTATAAGAATTTCTACAAAAGAAAGAAAAATATTGTCAGACATACTGTGAACATTCCCTTGCTCTGCAAACATCATTTGGGAAATATTTTAAAAAGAAAAAAGAAATTCAAAGGGGGGTTAGCAATTCTGACCTCAACACAAAACTGCGTATTTAAAAAAAAAAAAAATGTTGTTGAATATAGCCACCTCATCCAACAACTATTTTATTTTCTCTCTAATAAAATATATTGTACAGTTGTGTTGTGATGCCATTGCAAATGATTCATAACAAATTAATCCAACTGAGGTATATTGCAAATCTGTTGGACTGATTAAATAAAAAAAAATTGCAAATCTGCATCAATTGAGTTTTTTTTTTTTTTTTTAAAGATTTGTTTCAGTATAATAGAAAGAAAACATCCAAAATTAATTTTAGGCATTAATTTTTATTACATATTATTAAGTAAAATTGCAATATATATTTAATTTTTTTTAAATGCTTATTTCCCCTACACTTTAGTAGCACATATATCTATATTGTTATAGATTTGACTGAGAAATATGTAGTTTTTTCCCTCATTTTATAAATTGATATAATATATACTCATACTGTAAATAATTCCAAAAAACATGATATTCTACTTTATTTATCAATTACTCTTATAAGTAAAAAAAAAACAAACAAAAAAATTTACAAAAAATAAATAAATAAATAAATAAACAATGCAACTAATGGAGTACGTTAAAATGTGTATGAATGTAAACATAGGTATTGACATGACTATGCTATAAGTAATATTATTTATCCATAAACTTTTCTAAAGACATGGCAGCAATGTAAGCTCAGTCTTCGCTGAGGCCATCTTCCAGCCTAAACCACGGCGAATGAAGCTCTGCACAAGACTTTTGGCCAGCGGAGAAATTAAAATGGTCCTGCCCAACTGAGTCTGGTTCTCTCAAGGTTTTTTTTTTCTTCACTCCCATCAGGTGAAGTTTTTTTTCCCTCTCCGCTGTCGCCACTGCCTCGCATGGTTCAGGATTGGTAGAGCTACGCATCGATGAATTGGCTCTTCAGTGTTTGAACTCTCAGTAATGATTAAATCACACTGAACTGAGCTAAACTAAACTAAACTGAACTTAAACACTAAAACCTGAACCACGCTGTTCCAGTTACTATGACCATTTATGTGAAGCTGCTTTGACACAATCTACATTGTAAAAGCGCTATACAAATAAAGCTGAATTGAAAAGCTGAATTGCTCTTTGACTTGAAAAGTCTTTCTTTTGTTGTTGTTAATATGTAATCTATTATTATTAGTAGTAGCAGTATTAGAAGTAGTAGTATTTTTTGTTTTCACACAGGTTCATTAATTTGTATTTGTTCAATATTATATAACTTTTTTGTTGGTCTTTAATCATTTTTATGTTGGTCCTTAATTGTATGTATATTATATGACTTTTTATTATGTGTTGGTCCTTAAGCTGATTTGTAACCCAAGCCGGGGGCTCGTCCAAAATGAGAAAAACAAATTCTGCTGATACTCCTGGTCTTTTAAACTCCACTTCATGTGCACTAAACATCTCTGACCTCCAAGAAGAATGTTTAAACTTCAACAACACTGTTTACATCAACACCTGCAAGGCTTGACTCATCAGACTCCTACTTTGTGGGAAAGATTGTATCACAAATATTGCTGTGCAGCTGTGGCAACACTCAGCTATTGGTTTAGAGCTAAGATAATCCTACAATAGCTGTGAAAAGTTGATCTAAGATTAATGAAAAGACTGCTATGCAGTTTTATTATTCATATTACTAAAATGCTCACAGATATACTTCGGCTGTTTGTTTGGATAAAGTCACTGGTTTGCCTGGCTGCTTGTTTTCCTTTGCTCATAGTCATGTTTGCTTGTTTGTTTCATTAATATCTTTCCTCTCGTGGCTGTTTCGGTAAAATGGTGCATCAAGATTTTATACGTAACTATATATATTTTTTATGACCTCTTTGAATATTCCTGTTTAACAACAATGGGGCATTTATATTTCACAAAGTGGAGATGTATCCACTTTGCCGGATGAGAAAGACATGATATGTAAGCTCACGCAACATTAGGGAACACGAATCGGACGAGATGTGCTGAACATTTCCTCGGCATGAATCAGAAACTAATTGAAAGCGGCTGTGCGCTTGTGAAATTAAGGCCAGACGCTCGATTCAAGTGATTCATTCTTTTAAAATTGCGGCAGGCTGCTAGACAATAGTGGTTTAGATTGACTCTTTTTGGATGTCAATGAAACATTCTTTACTTTGAAAAGTTCATTGTGTAGAGAGTGTAAATAAATATCTGTTTTGTCATGTTTTTGTCATTTATTTATGCTTTTGGTTTGTCCTACAACTTATGATGTTGACAAGTGTAAAAAAAGTGACTTCTGTTGACATTTTTAATTGCTTGAAATAATATATTTTCTGTATTGGTGTTGTAAATTACTGTACTAAAACTTGGTAATGAACTGCCAATACTTTCTCTGTTAGTTTAGTCATTTTGTTGAACTGCAAAGTTGAATTTTCAACATCAAAAGCTGGAACAAATAAAAGTCTTGTAATGGATAAATGTAAATAATCAAAAAATCCTAACAAATCAAAGAATTTTGTTTTGCTAAAAAAGTTATTAGCCCCCCTTAAATTATTAGCCCTCCAATATTTTTTCCCCCCAATTTCTGTTTAATGGAGAGAAAATTCTCCATTCAAGTTATTGTATGACGATGGTTTGTTCTGTAGACAATCAGGAAAAAAAAGCTTAAAGGGGCTAATGATTTAGACTTTAAAATGGTTAAAAAAATAAATAAATAAAACCTGCATTTATTCTAGCTGAAATAAAACAAATAAGATTTTCTCAAAAAGAAAAAAAATATTATCAGACATACTGTAAACATTTCCATGCACTGTATTACTATATTACTGTAGTAACCTGAATTTTCTTATGTGTACATTTTAACATTGTTATAGCATGAAAATTAAAAGTATTTCATAAAAATTGAGTATTTCATGCTACGAATGACTGTAACAATCAAATATAACATGCAATATAGATACTTTTGTACGTCATTCAGGTCTGTAAAGGATTTTACTTTAAATTGAAATGTATAATAGGGATGCTTTTATTAATAATAGGGATGTTTTATGCTATTACAAGATTTATTTTTATTTCAACAAGAAGTTAAGAGAATATTGATCTACAGTATTTTGAATTTCTGGATCTGTAATTAGCTGCTCTCTACAAAATTAATAGGTTTCTGAACCAGTGTTGGGTTAAATATACACAAATTTGAGTTGGTTAAAAAGTGTAGTTTGGTTTGTTTATTTTTGACCCAACAACCCATTTTTTGATAGTACATTAGCAGTTGGCATTTCTGTGTGCAATTTGCATGTTCTCCCCGTGTTCTTCCCGGTGCTCCGGTTTCCCCCACAGTCCAAAGACATGTGCTATAGGTGAATTGAATAAGCTAAATAGGCCGTAGTGTATGTATGCAAGACTGTATGGGTGTTTCCAAGTGTTGGGTTGCAGCTAGAAGTGTATCTGCTGCATAAAACATATGCTGGATAAGTTAGCGGTTCATTCATGCTGTGGCGACCCCTGATTAATAAAGGGACTAAGCCAAAAAGAAAATGAATAAATGTAGGAATGTACTGATTACAGTGGTGGCTGCATAGAATTGTTTCTGATAACTACAAAGTGTTGCAAGGTCAATATGTTTTGACAAAATATCGATGTGATAATTGACTAAATTGTGACAGATGTTCAAAGCAGAGTTTTCAAACCTCAAAAAGACAAAAAATTACACTGTAAAAAGTGATTTGTTGAGTTTATTTTAAAAAAAAATCTTTTAGAACCATTCGATGATTTTGCTTAAAAAAGCGAGTACATTCATTGCTTCAAAGTTATTAAGTATAACAAATTATGTGCACATTATAAAAACAAAGTTAAATCAAACAGTTCCAGCCTACAATGAGTTTACTCACTTTTTTTTAAGTAATCGCTTTTTATAGTGCATTCAGTACAATATAGTACGTAAGTCAGTGAGTTCTACGCTGTGAAAACGCATAAAAGTCATGCAAATGAAGTCACTTCGACATACCTGTTAATACAACCTGTTAATCAAGTTTAAAAATTATTTTTAAGTGTTTAATTGATGCAAGTTAAGACTTGTAAAGTTAATTTGATTCAACTTTAAAAATATATTTTTAAAATTTAACTATTTACATTTTATGGTGTTGTGTGTTTTGTATTTGTTTAGAGGTTTTGGCTTACAATAAACAGTAGTATTTGCAAAAACTATTTAAAGTATTTTACAACTGCACAACAAGATACTAGCTGTTCGGTGTTCTTCTTTATGGTAGTGATTAGACTGAGGTGGGCAGGTGCCTTCAGGCTCCTGATGAGGAAAATGCTTTGTAATGAGAGGTGCCCATTAGATGTGACCTTATAAACCTGAAGGAAGTGGTTGAGAACTTGACAAGCCCACGTCCCGCCTTTTCCCTGAAACCATCAGCAAATGCATTCACGTTTCCTGAGAACCACCCTGATCAAGATGATACAGGGATTACACATGTCTCTTTTTTTATACAAAAGTCCTAAATATACACCAGGGAAAATAAGAATTGAACTATATATTTGTATATAATCATCTAAACTGCCTATATTGTTGATTTAGTTGATAAAGGAAGAAAATAAATTTACATGTAATTTATAATACACATTTGTTTTTCATTATTTCATGAAATCTAAAAATTAAAAGTATAAATATGTTGGTTATGGTATCAAGTTTAATTCATATTTTAAAATGTGGAATTAGAATATTGTGAAAGATTGTGATTTTTAATTCTGTTTTATGATTAAATCAGAAAAAAAGTTATATGAGCACAAGGAGTGAAAGATTATAACGCTCAGAGGCCTGAAACCATAAACACAGCATTTGACCTTTGTCTGTTCCTGACCCTGAGAAACCTCACTGTGACCTCAAGTTTAAAGGTGAAATTAGAGAAAGGTGTTTTTTTGCAAAAAGGTTAGAAGCTTAATTTTATTAGGTGATGTTTAGTTTCATCAAAAGAAAAAACGGTCAGAGATTCTGATGATGAATAAAAATCGCTAAATATTTTGGAAATGAGCTTTAAAGCAGCAAGACTTTGAAGAGCCAAAAACATCCTTGTTTTTGTATTTGTGTATGTAGTTGGTTAGTTTTGTTGTTATTTTTAAATTAACTTTAAAACTTTTTATTTTTATTTATTTGTTTACTTGTTTGTTTGTTTGTTTGTTTGTTTGTTTGTTTGTTTGTTTGTTTGTTTTTGTGAAGCCTGTATGAGTACCACATTTATAATAAATAAAAGCAACAAAAACAAAATTGCAGAATTGTGAGATAAAAAGTCTATGCTTTTTAAATAAATTTTTATCTTATTCTGTGTCAAAAACAAGCATGTTTAATAAAGGTTTAGCAATATAGGAACCAAAATAATTAGGAAGTAGCTTCCAAAAATAATTTAAATGCATTTACAATAACGAAGGACAGAGAGTTGCTGAAAAACTACAAAAAGTTCAGCTGCAATCTGGACTTTCACTGCCTTTCTACACCTTCCTTTCTTCATGTGTTCAATACGTTTTCCTGCATTCATTTCATTATGCATAACTTAATTCGTAAACTAATTTGATTTGTTTCTTTGAATATATGGATTTTTTTTGTTTGTTTTTACCTACATCTGGGGAAAATTTCAAGTCAACAGCATCATTAGAATATGATTTTTGAGAAAAATGGTGACGTGTTCAAAAAAATAAACAGCATGCATTGTTTTTTTTTATTTTTTTTATTTTTAAAATAAATGTGGTGTTAGTTCCTGTGTTCCCCTCAACACTTCAGGTGTCCCTCTTTAAACACACCTGTTTCAGAATTGAAATATGTGCATCAAGAACCAGTGTTTTGGTTTATGCACATAATTATCCAGCACTTTAGAACCACATATGCATGCTTTAATAAGAAAAAGCTGAAGCTGTCATTTACCTGTCCACACTCAAAGCACATAGATTGAGCACTGTAATCCCAACAGACGCTTTCTGGAGGAATGGCACAAGTTTGCACAGGAAGAGTCCAAAGGAGCTGTCATCAAATGGCCACTTTGTGACCAGCAGCTGCAAAGAAAATACAAAGACATGAATGAAAACTTGAAAAACACAATAATATGCTACAGTTAAGTCATGGAGGTTTGGATGAAGAATTAATAAACCACTATTTGAATCTAGGCATGGGTCGGTATAAGATTCTGATTATATGATAACCTTGGATAATAATATCACGATTTTACAGTATAACAGTATTGTGATCACTGCTCTAAAATAAGTTTTTTGAGTAAGAAACAAAAACTTTTCCCCCCCTTTTTTTACAAGCTTTGAACACAGTTTTATTTTGGGAAACATTTAAAATATTTTGGAGCTGTAAAAGATATCCAGCTAAATAAATAAAATGCTTTTGGAAACTATGTTATCATAAAAAACAAAACCAACAAAATAAAACACCTAAAAAAATGTACATATAACATTGGAATGGTAAAACTAATTTGTTTACGGTTTTAAAACCTTTTTTCAAACATCAGTAAACCTTGAAACCAGTTATCGTCCCATGCGGTCAAAAGTTTGGTAACAGAAAGATTTTTATGTTGTTTTTTAATTAATTATATCATAGACTTGCTTTATCTAAAATACTGTAAAAAGTCGAATAAAATAAGTGTTTAAACTACATTCAAATAGTTATTTTAAACTGCAATAATATTCCAATACAGTTTTAGTGTTTTATTATTTATTTTTTATCAGATACATGCATCCTTGTTGACAATTGAAAAGCTACTGATGCCAAACATTTGACCGGTAGTACTGTATAAGTTTACCCATAATTGAGGCTAGTCTAGATTTCTGGAATTTGCTTGGGTCTGAAGAGTTTGAGTTAAATACGAAGCAGATTTGTTTTTTCTTTTGCTTCGACTCTGTCCTTGGCCTTGGGGGCACACATCTTGTCTTGATGAAACAGTTACAAAGGCTGCTTGTATAGTTTTCTTTGGTCATTGTGCTTTGTGTTTGGTATTTTCACCTTGGAGGACTGACTAATGTTTAAAAAAGTCTCCTATCTCTCGTTTTACACTTTTATTTATTTATTTTTAAGTGTACCTTTTTTTTTTTTGTAATGGCATTTTGCATCAAAATATATTATGAGGGGATTGAACTTCAGCAAAGTCTTATCATTCAAGTGGTCTTGACAAGGTTCTCTCTGCAAAGGGCCTCGTCTTTTGTTAAACAGGAAAAGTATGTGGATTTTGCTCAGGTTTGGAGAGGAAACTCTTCACGGGTGTATCCTGACCCTGTTTGTGTGTGAAGTGCAGAGTTTAATCAGTGGCACAGCTGGAGGAGTGTGTTTCTGTGTGGATTTGATGTATATTGGAAGTCAGTGGTCTGGAGTGCACACAAGTCTGTGCGTCACAAAACAAGCCATACTAAATGCCACGTTTCCTTTTTAAAACATTGATGTTGTTTTTTTTTCATATGAACTTTAACCTTTCATCTTAACAGAGAAGCACTTAAGATCTCTGATCTTCATTAACAATGCTGAAGAGTATGTTTGTAAAACATCTCCACCCAATATCCTGTCGAAAAGTCCCTTGATATGAAATTTAAATAAGATAAGACTTTATACATTTTGAAGGGTCTGTAGTTTACTGATTGACACATAATTTTAGAGTGTTTTAACATTGTAAATTAAAAATTTTAATCCAAGACAAATTAGAGTCCCTGACAATTTAGAAGGAAATCAGATTAAAACTGGTTTTAGAATTGTGTATCTGCTTGTTTAATGATTAAGAAAACAATGTTGTTTTCTTACAAACAAGTATTTGATTTCAGAAAATGGTAAATTAATCAAGTGAAAAATATAATTTACATATATATATATATTTATATATATAATTAGTAAATCATTATTACAAAGTTTTTAATATGCATTCATTTATTTTCCTTCAACTTAGTCCCTTATTTATCAAGGGTTACTACAGCGGAATCAACCACCAACTGTACCAGCCAATGTTTTACACAGCGGATGCCCTTCTTCCAACCACAACCCAATACTGGGAAACACTCATACTCTCTCGCATTCACACACATATACTATGAGCAATTTAGCTTACCCAATTCACCTATGGCACAGAACATGCAAACTCGACACAGAAATGGCAACTGGCCAAGACAGGGCTTGAACCAGGGACCCTCTTGCTGTGAAGCGACAGAGCTAACCACTGAGGCACCATTATACGCATTTAATTTATTAAAATAAATGTAAAAAATGTAGGATTTACAAGATATACTTGTAAAGTTATTTGATTTGATTCAGCTTAAAATGTATAAAAATTAGCATATACAATTAAATAAAATAATTGCATATAATTTATCATTCATTTTATTTTCGGCTTAGTCCTTTTATTAATCTGGGGTCCCCACAGCAGAATGAACCACCAACATATCCAGCATATGTTTTACGCAGTGGATGCCCTTCCAGCTGCAACCCAACACTGGGAAACACTCACACACTCATTCACACACATACACTATGGACAATTTAGCTTACCCAATTCACCTATAGTGCATGTCTTTAGGGTTGTGGGGGAAATCAGAGCACCCGAAGAAAACCCACGGGAACACATGAAGAACATGCAAACTTCACACAGAAATGAAATGCATTTATATAGCGCATTTATTGTGTATGCCCATACACCCAAAGCGCTTCACAATCATGAGGGGGGTCTCTTTACACCACCACCAGTGTGCAGCATTTATTTGGATGATGGAGAGACAGTGATAGAGCCAATTCGGTGGATAGGGATGATTAGGAGGCCATGATGGGTAAGGGCCAATTGAGGGACTTTGGCCAGGACACCGGGGTTGCATCCCTACTCTTTACGAGAAGTGCCATGGGATTTTCAATGACCACAGAGAGTCAGGACCTTGGTTTAACGTCTCATCCGAAAGACGGCACACACTGGCATTATAGTGTCCCCTTCACATTTAATGGGGCATTAGGACTCACACAGACTACATGAAGAGCGCCCCCTGCTGGCTTTTCTAACACCACTTTCCCACTTTGACCCAGCTAAAGCCTGATTTATACTTCTCCGTCAAGTGACCGGCGTAACCCACGGCGCATGCAACGCACGTGGCTGTGCATTTATACTTCTGCGCGCTGTCTCTGTTGGTCTGCATTAACACTTCCGAAACGCTAGTTGGCAGTGAGGTGTAAATGTTCCTCTGTGACGAATTTCTTCGCTGCTTTTTTGCTTTTCCTGAACACTTCCGGGATGTACAAGTGGCTCAAACTCGCTCATTTTGAGGCAGGAACCGGCGGACGTACAACAACTTTAACTATGAGGTAAACACAAAGCAAAACTATCCATCCGGAGCTCCTTCACGGGACTCCACACTTGTAAACAATCGCTCGCACCATTCGCGCGGCTCTCGGTCCCGCCCAGACTCGTCAGCGCTACCAAGCCGACCAATCACAGAGCTTGCGCTGCACGTTGTTGCGACGTGTAGTTAAATTTTTTGAGAGGTGCACATCAGTGCACCTGGCCACGGCTAAGGGCTATGCGTCAGCACCGTAGCATACGGCGACGTTTGACGCAGAAGTATAAATCAGCCTTAAGGCTTAAACCACTGACCTTCTTGCTGCGAGGCGACAGAGCTACCAACTGCACAACTATGCTGCCCATGTATTTTTGCACTAATTTAAATTCAAAGTTTAACTTTTACACCCCTGTTCTACACAATAGTGTGTAAATTACTGTTTAAAATTTTAATTTTGTCATGAATTTCCTATGAACCAGAAATTGCTGAGAGTTTTATTTCAGTATGTTGATCTACTTCCAACTAAAATGGAATATAGGGTAGGGGGTGGGACTTTCCTTTTGAGCATCATTCACATTCCCTCATACTAAATTAAAGGCAAGAGTGACATGGTTAAGAATATTGTTGCTGAAGCTGGCAAACTGATGTCAACCACCACTCTGAATGCAGAAGCAAATGATTAGTCTTTTATTACAAGTTAGCAAAAAAATAAATAAAAATCTGTGTATTAACTTGCATGAATTAAATGTGGACCTAAAGAATAACAATGTGTGCCAGTAAAATAAACAAATATAAATGTTGATTTCACACAGGCTTTAACAAATTTTAAAGCCTGAGGTAAAATCATTTTAGGAGAATTATGTTCATCTTGCAACAAATTCAAAAAATATTCTAAAGCATCTTTGTTAAGATATATTTTCTTTCTATTCCACCATAAATAATAATAAAAGATTGTGCCAAAATGTTTTAATCACCTAATTAACAAAGAGACTAGACAACTATCTCACTTTTTTAACAGAAATTCAAATATGTTCTTCATTGATGTGGCTTATTTAAGTCATTGCATCCGAATAAAGTAAGCCTTATCTAAAGCCTTATCTGACTAAATTAAGACACTGTCCCATCGCTGCCCCATCTGCTAGCAATAGAGGCCTCTGTTCACCGTCAGTTACTGTCTTCACTGACAAGTGGAGAATTCGACAAGCGATATTTGGCTAGCGATGAAGCAACAGTCAGAACAGAGCCGTTCATTTGGATGACGGCCCTTCAATCCCATGTTTACTTTACCAGGCCATATCCCTGCTGCTCTCATCACAAAAGCCTCAGTAACCGTAATAGGACGGCCCTGCAGATAAACTCTGGATGACCACATAATTGTACTTCCCTGTCCCGTGCATCTAAACCCCCTCCCGACTTCCTCTGCCAGCTTGTTCACCCTTCCTGCCCTTAAGTACTCGCTTTTGTATTCCAGCCTGGTTTGGGAACAACATAACGTCATACTAGGGATGGGCAATATCTTATTGTTAATAATCGTATTGTTGATTAAGAAAAAAAAAAAAACAGACTTGTCATAAGTAAATCAATAAAATATACAGTTGGTCTGTGCCATGATTTATTACAGCAGCACACGTGAAACTCCAAAAAAATCTCTAAAGTTTTGCTTTAATGATCCTCTTTAAAGATTTACTGTCATTCTTTTACTTTAAATTCAGTTGAGTGTTTGAAATTACTTCGTTTTGCGACCAGGCGTTTCATTTCAGGAAGTATCAGGATTTCTTATCAGGATCATACTATGATACTATTTTATAGTATTCAATACAAGTATAAGAGCTAGATCAATTAGCATTTCATAATAAATATACAATATCTAGGACGATTGAAAGCAGTGGACAATTGGTGAAGTTTTTTTTTTACTCGTTGCTGTCACCACTGGCTTGCATGGTTCGGGACTTGTGGAGCAGCACATCGATAGATTTGCTCTTCAGTGTTTGAACTCTCAACAGTAAAAATTAAACCACACTAAACTGAACTAATCTGAAATTTAACACTGAAAACTGGACTGACACTGTTTCAATTTAGTATAATCTTCTATGTGAAGCTTCTTTGACACAATCTACATTGTAAAATGAATTAAATTAAATTAAATTGGTCATCAACCAACGTGACAGTACCATTCCGTGGATCAATTGGTACTGGGCCACATAAGAAATCACATTTTTTTTTCTGTTTTATTTATTATCTTAGTCTGAATGATCTCTTATTTAAAAAAAAAAAAAAAAAAAAAAAAAACCTCTGTATTTTCTCGCTGGCATTGCCAGATGTACGATAATTGTCATATTTGTACAATAATTTTGACCTCTGTACGATTAATAATGAAAAAAAACCCTATAATGTACCTTAATTTCAGAGTTTTATGGCATTTAAACAGAATTTCATTGTAATCATAGGGCTTCTATACTTATTGATCTAGCTGCATCTTTTGTCTACTGTCTGTGAGGAGAACGTGGAGTTGGGCACGTTTTCTCTGTCATCTTATGTCACATCTTCTCAGCCAATCAATGTGGAGGATGACTCTGTCCCACGAGTTAAAGTTCCTGCTGCTCGAGGCTGTGCTTAGGTCAATAGTTTTCAGGTTGAGGTCGATCGTTTAAGCAATAAAGTAAAAAAAAAAATTGTGCTGAAAAGGAAAGTGAGAAAGAGGAGAGTTTGCCCTTGATGTTCTCGTTGTTCCACATTCAAATGCGTTATGTGAACGTGTTTTAAATAATCTCATCAAAACAAAGTCACAAAATTGGCTCATTACAGAGACTGTAAATGGGCTCATGCACACCTCGGAGTGTGTTAAAAATTCGGGTGGCAGCACTGCTTTCAAGCAAACCAGCACTATGTTGCGGTCTAATTTGTACCGCAAAATGAATCCCTCAACATCTGGCAACACGCAGGTATCCAATGACAGCGACTCGGATGTGGACTCTGAACCTTCCCACTAAGTTATGCTTATTTTATTTAATTTTATTTATTGTGGTAATTTGACCATTGTTGAAAGCCCAAAATTAACCCACAAGCAGCAAAATGAGTGAGAAACAGAGGACTTCGGAAAGTTCCTTTGCAAATGAAAAAAGGCCAAGTCAAGGACTTGCGGACTGCCAAGGAATAGATCTGCAACCCTGTTGTCAACAAATCAGGTGAATCCAGCATGGCTGTGCAAGAAGATCTGATGGAGATCCCGAATGACGGTGGCCTTTTAGGGGCATTTTGGTGGTGCGTGGCTTGATTGCACAAGCGACATGACGCGCTTGCACCTTCCAGACCGGACTCACCTAGTTGAATAAATCCCACGAGTGCACCGCAAGTCACATTACAAGAAATGAATGATATCCTCATCTTTGTAGACTTATAATCTCTTGGAAACACAGAACCCCCAAACACTGTAGCACTTTGTAATTTTCTCCATAAATAAAAGTTGTATCAGAGTGACAGCAATGTTTTGTCTGCTTGTCTTCCTCTGAGAAAACAATTGATGGTTGCCTAGCAAAGTCTGCAGTAAAGTTGTCAAGCATTGACCTGTGTGTGATGATAAAAAGGTTAAGGAACACTGGTTTATATAATAGAAATAATCCACATATTGCCACAAGCATTTGTTTATTGTGCTCATGTTTGATCCATTTATATTTTTTTGTCACCTTTCTAATCATTTTCGTTCTGCAGCAGCAATAACACATCTTTATTTAGTAATCTAGATGTGTAGTTTATGCACAAGGGCGCCTTCTAGTGTCCAGTATGAATGAAACAGGAATACTATATTTCTAAAGGTGTTGTTGACTTGAAAATTTCACCAGATGTTAGTGACAACCAAATAAATCCTTATATGAAAATAAAACAAATAATTAGCTTACAAAATAAGTTATGTCTAATAAAATGAAATGACACAGGAAAAAAAGCATTGAACACACTAAGAAAGAGAGGTGTAGAAAGCCCAGACAGCAGCTAAAATCACACAGAAGTTGTTCAGCAACCCTTTGCCCTTCATCATTGTTAATTAATTTCAATTGCTTCAGTTAAACATCTACGTTACCAGGATGATCAAGATGAAACCAGAATGGACATTTCAGCAAGACATGCATGATCGAAAACACAGCCAAGGAAACTCACAAATGATTTAAGAAAAAGAAAATCAAGCTGTAGAATGGCCCACCCAATCACCTGACTTAAATCCAATAGTGAATACAAAATAAAGATCAGTTTGTAATTGAAACCCATAGAACCATCAAGATTTTTACACTCTGATGAAGTCTAGGGGAAAAAATGCACAATTTCAAGTCAACAGCATCTTTAGAAATATGTTTTCTAAGAAAAATGTATTTTATATATATATAATATATAATTCTAATAATTGATCAAATGTTTTGAAAATATAATGGGTATTTGGGAATTATATCATGATTAAAATTATTATCGCAAGAAAATAATGTGATATATTTTTAAGTCTGTATCACCATCCCTATATCATTTGTATTGGAAATAAAGTTGTGCCTACCTTGTAGACATTTATAGGGATGTCTATAGTGATGTAAATGAGGTCTCCAAGAGCCAGACTGGCGATGAGGGCATTGGGTCCGTTCCTCATACACTTATTCTGGTAAATAATCTTCAATAAAGTGGCATTACCCACTATTCCCACCACAAACACGATGCAGGAAATGATTGTGTTGATATACTTAAAATAAAGCTTGATGGAAGTGGGATCCCTACAGGGTGGATGCTTCATATTGAAAACCGAAGCGTCTTTTTTTGTGGGGGGCTGGAAACCCTTGTGTACGTTGGTTTTGGAGGTAGTAGAGTTTGGATATAAAGCATCCTGGGCTTCCTCTGTGCCATTTATCAGACATAATCCACCAGTGGCCAGAACGGCCATTAGCAGAAACAATTGTAGCGTCGTAATGGCCATTGCAGAACACTGGCCGCTCTTTGATTTCCAGATGAGGTGATAAGAGCCTGATTAGGGTTATTTAGCACAGCTGCGGGATAAGAAACAACAGGAGAGACATCAAAAACATGCTGTGTTGTAAAGCAAGTCAGAGTTCCCCTTCGGTTGGGGAACTTCAGTGCCATGAATGGGAGGATTCGGATCAGAAGCCGCTTATCTGGAGAGTATTGAACGGGCCAATGAATGAAATTAATTGGCAGCGTAAGCTTGCGCAGGTGTGCGACATCTGCAATCATCTCAGCATATAAGCACACCTGAAGCCAGCAGACGCCATCCTTTTCGCTTCAGATCCTTTCTGAGTGAGTCGATGAGGGTTCCTCTTGCTGATCAGCACTTCAGAGCGAACGAGTGTGTCTCCCGGTCCAGAGTGGGTCTTCGCGGTGGCAGACGGTCGAGCTGGGTTACTCCCTTGCCTGCGGTTCTTTGGGTCCGGTCCTCCAGAGCGGTGCGTATAGTTGCAACTTTCCTAAAAGAGCAACACAGTCGTGCAGCACGTCCTTTTCAGGATGGCGCTCCGACTGTGCGTTTCTGGATGCGGGGGTTTCCTGTCTCCGGATGATGGACACGATCACTGCATTGCATGTTTGGGGGTCCAGCATGTTAATGCGGTGCTCGCGGGCGGTTCATGTCGTCATTGCGATGCCATGACCGTTGCACAGCTAAGATCGCGGCTAACTTTCGCAAGAGAGCGAGCCACCCCAGTTGCCTCCTGTTCTAAAAAAGCAGCGGGCGCTCGGGCAGATCTGAGGGTTTCAGCGGGAGCTAATCCGCCGCCCACGGGCTCGCGGACCTCTCGCTCCTCACGGCGCTCCATCCAAGCTTCGGGTGGTGAGAGTGATCCGTCTAACCAGATGGTAGCTCTCACACTCGCTGACACCGGAGATCAGATGTCCTCCGCGGCATCGGAGGGTGGGCTTTCACTGTCCGACGAAGATCCGGACCCGCTCGCCCCCTCCGGGCAGGTGAGCGCTGTCAAATCGGATCCTGAAGCGGACATGTTAGCCGTGCTTTCCCGGGCTGCTTCGGCCGTGGGGTTGGAGATGGTTTATCCCCCAGCTCCGCGGCCGGACCGACTAGATGGGTGCTACGTAGAGGACCAGAAGGCGAAGCCTTCGAAGCCTCTCGTCCCCTTCTTCCCGGAAGTGCACAGTAGGCTCACGCAGTCCTGGAGGGCACCTTTCTCTGCCCGTGCTGCGAGTGCCTCCGCCCTCACCGCCCTTGACGGCGGAGCTGCCAGGGGGTATGAGGCGATCCCGTCAGTGGAGCGCGCTATCGCGGTCAATCTTTGTCCGCGCGGCGCCTCTACGTGGCGGGGTTTGCCCCGCCTCCCGTCCAAAGCCTGTAGGTTGTCTGCCTCCCTCGGAGCCAGAGCTTATAAGGCTGCGGGCCAGGCTGCTTCTGCTTTGCACGCGATGGCCACCTACCAGCGCTACCAAGCGCAGGCGCTGGCCGAGCTGCACGAGGGCGGGTCCAACCCAAGCTTATTACATGAGCTGCGCACCGCGACCGACTATGCTCTTCGGACTACTAAGTCCGCCGCGTGTGCGCTGGGGAGGACGATGTCCACACTTGTGGTTCAGGAACGCCACCTCTGGCTAAACCTGGCCGATATGCGCGACGTTGACAAAGTTCGCTTTCTTGACTCGCCCATATCCCAGGCTGGCCTGTTCGGCGACACCGTCGGTGAATTCACCCAGGAATTCAAGGCGGTGAAAGAGCAGTCGGATGCGATGGGCAATGTCATCTATCGGCGTGGCCGTAAGCCCGCTCCGCCCGCCGAGCCATCCACCTCCGCTGTTCCTCGCCGAGGGCGCCCGCCAACGAGTGCTGCCCCGCCCCCGCCTGCGCCTCCGGCCAAGCGGGCGCGGCGTTCACCTCGAAAGCAGGCAGCCCCTCCTGCCCAGGGCGCCGTTAAGTCCGGTAAACGGACCGCGAAGCGTCCCTGAGACAGGCCATCCGGAGAAGAGGAAACTTGCTCTTTCCCCGCTGGAGGGCGGGGCCCCGATAACAACGGTACTTTTCAGTGCCACCAAAACATCAGTAAAAGAGCACTTTTTCCCTTCCCCGGATGTGACTGCACGAGTTCTGCCAGTCCGGGACGCGCTGCCTTCCGGCTCGCAGACTCTACGTGCTTCGCCAGTGGCTCACGAGCGCTGGGGGGACGGTCTCCCTTCCCTCAGCCCTCCAGCCCCCTCTCCGGAGTCAGGGTGCGGAGCCAGAGCGAATCGCTCTCCTCCAGCTTTTCCGCGGGACCCTCGTGCTTCCCGGATCAGCACACCCACTCCGCGCTGCCCCACCGCTGGTACGTCAGCGATTGTAGCGATGACTCCATTAGCGAGGGCTCTGCCTGCCTGGTTAGCGCGGGCCAGCCCCTCGCGGTGGCTCATACGCACAATCAGACTCGGTTACGCGATTCAGTTCGCGAAACGGCCCCCCAAGTTTACGGGCGTGTATTTCTCCAGGGTCAACCCCCTGTCCGCCCCTGTCTTGCGAGAGGAGATTGCTGCCCTCCTGGCGAAGGGTGCAATCGAGCCGGTTCCTCCAGCCGAGATGGAGAGTGGGTTTTACAGCCCATACTTCATCGTACCCAAAAAGAGCGGTGGGTCACGGCCAATCCTAGATCTGCGCGTTTTGAACCGCTGTCTGCACAAGCTGCCGTTCAGAATGCTCACGCAGAGGCGCATTCTCCAATGCGTTCGTCCTCGGGATTGGTTTGCAGCCATAGACCTGAAGGACGCGTATTTCCATGTCTCCATTCTTCCACGCCACCGCCAATTTCTGCGGTTTGCGTTCGAGGGTCGAGCGTGGCAGTACAAGGTCCTCCCCTTCGGGCTCTCTCTGTCTCCGCGGGTCTTCACCAAACTCGCGGAGGGTGCCCTAGCGCCCCTTCGGCTCGCGGGCATTCGCATACTCAATTATCTCGACGACTGGCTGATTTTAGCCCACTCGCGGGAGCAATTGATTATGCACAGGGACGAGGTGCTTCGGCATCTCCGCCTACTGGGGCTTCAGGTCAACCGAGAAAAGAGCAAACTCGCCCCCGTGCAGAGGATTTCTTTTCTCGGGATGGAGCTGGACTCGATCACCATGGTAGCGCACCTCTCCGAGGAACGCGCTCGCCTGTTGCTGAACTGTCTGAGGGAGCTCGACAGCAAACTAGTGGTCCCACTGAAGTTCTTTCAGAGGCTCCTGGGGCATATGGCATCCGCAGCCGCCGTCACGCCGCTCGGGTTGCTCCATATGAGACCACTTCAGCACTGGCTTCACGATCGGGTCCCCAGACGCGCATGGCACGCGGGCACACACCGGGTCTCGGTTACTGCGCTGTGTCGCCGCGCCCTCAGCCCTTGGAACGACCCCTCGTTCCTACAGGCCGGTGTGCCTCTAGGACAGGCGTCCAGCCATGTTGTTGTTTCAACAGACGCTTCCAACACGGGTTGGGGGGCCGTGTGTCGCGGGCATGCGGCTGCGGGCCTCTGGAAGGGTGCCCAGCTGCATTGGCATATCAATCGCCTAGAGCTGTTGGCAGTGTTCCTCGCTCTCCACCGCTTTTTACCGGTGCTGGAGCGGCAACACGTGCTGGTCAGGACGGACAGTACGGCGGCGGCGGCGTATATCAACCGCATGGGGGGTATGCGCTCTCGCCGCATGTCTCAGCTCGCCCGCCGTCTGCTCCTCTGGAGTCACCCGCGGCTGAAATCGCTGCGCGCCATTCACGTCCCAGGCACGCTCAATCGTGCAGCCGATGCGCTCTCACGACAGCTGTTACGCCCTGGAGAATGGAGACTCCACCCCGAGTCTGTTCAGCTGATATGGGCGCGATTCGGGGAGGCCCAGATCGATCTGTTTGCTTCCCCCGAGAACGCTCACTGCCAGTTGTTTTTTTCCCTGACCGAGGGCTCTCTCGGCACGGATGCACTGGCCCACAGCTGGCCTCGGGGCATGCGCAAGTATGCGTTTCCCCCAGTGAGCCTGCTCGCGCAGTTTCTGTGCAAGGTCAGGGAGGACGAGGAACAGGTTCTGCTAGTTGCGCCCCTTTGGCCCAACCGGACCTGGATATCAGAGCTCTCACTCCTCGCGACGGCCCTCCCCTGGCGGATCCCTTTGAGAGAGGACCTACTCTCTCAGGGACAGGGCACCATCTGGCACCCTCGCCCCGATCTTTGGAACCTCCACGTGTGGTCCCTAGACGCGAGGAAGACTTAGGTAACCTACCGACTGCGGTGGTTAATACCATCACTCAGGCTAGAGCCCCCTCCACGAGGCGCGCCTACGCCCTGAAGTGGAGTCTATTCACTGAATGGTGCGTCTCTCGCAGAGAAGACCCCCGAAATTGCCAGATTAGTGTTGTGCTCTCTTTCCTTCAAGAGAAGTTGGACAGCAGGCTGTCGCCCTCCACTCTCAAGGTTTACGTGGCCGCCATCTCCGCTTATCATAGCGCGGTAGCTGGCGGCACCGTGGGAAAGCATAACCTGGTCATCCAGTTCCTTAGGGGTGCTAGGCGAATTAATCCATCTCGCCCCCCTCTCATGCCCTCTTGGGATCTCGCCCTCGTTCTCACGAGTCTGCGATCCGATCCCTTTGAGCCACTCGAATCAGTATCTCTAAGATTTCTGTCCCTGAAGACAGCTCTGCTGGTTGCGTTGGCCTCCATCAAGAGGGTCGGGGACCTGGAGGCATTTTCGGTCAGTGACTCGTGCCTGGAATTCGGGCCGGATTACTCTCACGTTATCCTGAGACCCCGCCCCGGTTATGTGCCCAAGGTTCCTACCACCCCCTTTAGAGATCAGGTAGTGAACCTGCAAGCGCTGCCCCCGGAGGAGGCAGACCCAGCCCTTTCTTTACTTTGTCCAGTTCGCGCTCTGCGCATTTATGTGGACCGTACTCAGAATTTTAGATCATCTGAGCAGCTCTTTGTCTGTTATGGCGGTCGGCAGCAGGGAAGTGCCGTATCGAAACAAAGATTATCCCACTGGATTGTGGATGCCATTTCACTCGCTTATTCGAGTCGAGGTCAGCCGTGTCCCCCGG